AACTCCCTAAACATGTCGTGCAGACAGGAGTCAAAGGGATCCTTTTCACAAAGACCATCAAGTCACTGGCTTGCTGCTAAGTCAGCAGCGACAGCCCATTGTCTTCGGGAAGAAGAGTCAAACTCCAGCCCGAGGCCTGTATGATCAGTTACTGTCCCTTCCCCCACATCCCTTCACCTCTGCATTTCTGTTCTAGTCACGCTCACTTTCTAGAAGCTCCTGGCACTTATGTCCTCTCTCTTTCCTGGGGTCTTTGCACTAGCTGTCCCCTGGCTGGCCAGTCCTTCCCTGTAGGCAGTTAACACCTATGCAGATCTCAACTCAAGCGTGACTTCTGCAGCCTGGAGCCTCGTCCCGTATGCCCCTGCCACTGTGCATCAGTATTTTCCCAATATCAAACACCACTTGAAGCCACACACTTGTTAAAGTCCTCTACCATTTAAATGTTAGCCCTGAAGGTCTCTTTGTCTTGCTGTGGCATGCCCGGCACCCACTGAAGAGCCAGGCATGGCTCACCCAAGAGTATTTGTTGAGTGAATGAACGAACACGCTTCCCTTATCTCGACTATTATGTTCATATTGTTGCTGTAAACGCCACCTGATTGTTCCTGACTCCTGGTGATCCCATGAACAATGGGACAAAATGCTGCCAATTGAGCCCTGGGCCGTGACTGGTTAGGAATCAGATTGTCATGATCTGTTCTAACTGGCTGGTTTCCAGTAGTTCACTAGGCCTTTCTTTCTGGTTTGTCAGCTCCACTGAAACCTGTTCAGCATCCCGGGAGCACAGAGGCCTCCTCCACTGTAGGATGGGAGGGGTTTGTGTAAGCCGAGTTTCCTCCGTGGAAGCTGGGAACGCTGCCACTCAACCACCAGCACCTCACTGCCGCTGTTGTTGTTAGGTGCCACTGACTCAAGCACAAATCATAGCGACCCCGTGAGCAGTGGATCTGAACCGTGTCCTGTTCTGTGCCAACCTCACCATCCCTGACACTTGAGCCCATTGCTGCAGTCACTGTGTCAATCCACTGATTGTCAATCCACTTCCTTTCTTTTGCTGTCCCTCCACCTTCCCAGGCATGATTTGTCCCTCTCTGAGGAATAATAGCCTTTTCTAGGCAGGTGGTTCGAGATCACCAGCTGCTCCACGGAAAAAGGATGGGCAATTTCCTCCCATGCGATTAACTGCCTCTGAAAACATACTGGAGGGTCAGCGATGGACTCTACCGTTCACAACAACAACAATAACAAACACCATGCCCAAAGTATATGACACGAAGCTTCATCACCTTTGTCTCCAAGGAGCACTCTGGCTGCACCCTCTCCAAGACATATCTGTTTGTCCTTTTGGCCGTCCATGTCAGTGCTTGTCTCCAACACCACAGCTCAAAGGCATCCATTCTTTGGTCATCCTTAGTCACTGCCCAGCACTCAGCAGCATAGCAAGTGATTGAAAAGACCATGGCCTGAATAAGCACTTAACTGTTGCTGTGCACCGTAGAGTCAGAGCCAACCCATAGTGGACCCTCCAGCAGGTTTTCAGAGGCAGTTATTTGCAGGGGTGGAGATTGCTCATCCTTCTCCCTCAGAGCAGCTTGTGGCCTTGAACCTTGTGCCTTTGGGATTGCAGTGCTGCTTCTTGCCACTAGACCATCAGATGGTTATATTCTTTACATGGAAATGTTTTAAAGGAAGACTTAAAAGGCAATTAGTTAAGTAGTTACACTATGAAGGTCATAAAAAGCCAATGGCTTCATATGACTTAATAAGATATCCAAGGGCTGAGTGTTGTTAATCGCAGTCCATTCTGGTTCATGGAGACCCCTGTGCTCCACTGGGCTTTCAAGGCTGTGACCTTTCCAAATCTAATTGCTAGGGTCTGGAGATGCAGCTCAATGTTAGAGCACGGTGGCTCACGTGCCACGGCTTTCTGGTTCAGCCTCCAAATCTAGCTAGGGCTTTCTTTTGAGTCACCTCTATATAGGTTTGACTGATCAACCTTTCAGCTACTTGTGAGCACTTAATCATTCATGCCATCCTAGGATACCAAAAGCTTCATACCACACAGTATCACAAACTGCAAGAACTCTAATCTAGTGAATCAGGAATTCTATCTGAAAGGCAACCCAGAGAAAGTGTGCAAATAGGGGTAGGTTAGAGGCAAACATCTAACTGCATCCAACGGAAAGCAGCTTGTAAAAGGTATCGCGATGGGAAAGTCTGCCGTTAGGGACCTCTCAAAGGTACTCAGGAGCAACAGTGTCTCTCTGGAGACTAAGGTGCACCTGATACAGGTCATGGTATTTGCAATCGCTTGTTATGCATCAGAGAGTTGGACAATGACTAGGGAGGACAGAAG